CGTCCTCATCTGGTGAGATCGACAAACGAATCTCTTCTTCATGTACTTTCATTCGAAATGAAGGTCCCCCCAACTAGGTTGGTGTGACATTCGAGGCAGGCCAGGCTTCTACCAGACCACATTTTATAATGGTATTGCCGATGAAACAAAGATGAACTTTCCCATTGGAATCGAAAACTACGTTTTTTATATGAGTAGCTCCTTTACCATCAGTAATTATTGAATTAACTCTGGGCTATCCCTCCTTTAATTACCTTATTTTACTTTGTATTCCTAAGAATTACTTCTAGCCTTAAAACTTCTATAGTTGTCCTACCTTGCCGCTGAGTCTTCATCTCTTCACGAATTAGGTTTTATGATCAAACTCATATTTAGAGTTTATCAAATCTTAAGTATTTATACAAGAGTATTTGGCCTTTTCAGAAACAAGGTTACATTCGGAGTTATCTGCATTTATAAAAATTTGTCTTACCCAAAAAGCAGAGAACAAGACCAAGGATCTCTATTTAACTTTTTTTCACTTCATTTAAGGACTTCCTACCCAGGGAATTTTAGCGCAACTAAGGCATTACCCTTAGTTTATTGTGAATAGAATCGCTACCAGTCCCCATAATTGTATACAAAAAACGATTCAAATTTAGAATCTTAAGGGATGCTAGCAGCCAAGTACTGGAAGTACTGTTTGTGTGTTATATCGGCTTTAAACGCGATCTGATTTCGGCTCCAAATCAAGCATAGGAACTATATAGACAGCGATCGGTAATGAATAGTACATGAAACGCTTTAATGGTGGGAAGGCCATGGTGGCAGTATAAAGGATTAAGGTGAGGAAGGTCCGTATGGCTGCGTTTTATTCACGCCCCAGCAACCGGTTCCTTCTTCCTGGCCTTGGCGGCCGAGCCAATTGGAAAGTGCAACGGCTTGAAGGCTGACGGGACAAAATGTGGCAAGCGACCTTGTACCTATCATATAAGGAAAGGCAAAAGACAGCCCAATTTGGTTCGTACCATTGTTTGGTTCATCTCTTCTTTCTCTCGTTCTTGATTTCTTGATTTTTTTAAATGCTCGTGGATCCCGGATGGTCATGGCTTGCCACATCTACAGTTAGCCGGCCTCTATCTATCAAGAATCGATAACCAACTGAATTTCATCGGATCCAATCCGGCCATAGCAGCATCAAGCAAACTTACGTAGTGCTGACTTTTTGTTTTGTGGCATAATTATGTATGTGGGTTTTAGTGCATGTGACCTTTCAAGCAAATGAAAGTATGTATCTTCATACCGAATTTTGCATTTGAGTTTTTCGCGATG